TGGATGAACACAGCAGGCCAAGCAGCATCATAGGAGCAGAGCTTGGCCTGCTGTGTTCATCCAGCCCTGCACCTTGTTGTCTCGGATTCTCCAGCATCTGCAGTTCCTACTATCTCTGTGCAGAAGTATTGTCATTAGTTATTTCATTGGCTGCCTTCCTGTTTCATGTTTATCAAAGAGACGTGGCTCACCCCTCAATTTTCAAAGGTCAGAATTGTTTTTGATCATTTTTTATTTGGTCTGTTTTCTTTATTTAGCAGTTCTGTACAGTTTCATTTCTGTTGATATATAAAAACTGCAGGACCATAGATCAGATAAAGCTGTAGACAATTAAGTCTGCACCATATATTTTTTTCCACTAACCAACCTGTTCAAAGATGTTACTACACACCTCTGGAGCAGGTAGGACTTAAACCCAGGTCCCCTGGTCTAGAGGTAGGGACACTACCACTGTCTGAAATGCCCCTACTTTGCATTATTGGGAAACAACACAAGAATTAGGCACACATTTAGATCACTTGGCCCTTTAGTCAGACACTGTCAGTGGGGCCCACTTGTGGCACAGTGGTAGTGTCCCTGCTCCTGGACCTGGAGACTGCAGTTCACGCCCCCACATGCTCCAGAGGTGTGTAATAACCTAGCTGAACAGGTTGATTAGCAAAATAAGTTAATTAAAAAGAAAGACTCTTGTCAGTCACTAAGATCATTGCTCATCTAATGTCTCCTGCCATAACGCTGGACTTCTGTCCATCAAAAATCTGCCTTGTCTCAGACTTGAATCTGTTCAGTTACTCAGCCAGCAATAATTTCCAAGGGAGAGAATTCTAAGCATTACTGACCCCCGAGAGACAAAATCTTTCCTCATCTTTGTCAGAATGGGAGAACCCCTTGATGTGAACAAACCCTCCTCGGGGGGGGGAGCATCCTCTCACCATCTGCCCTGTTCAAAGCCCTAGCAAATTCTGCAGTTTCAGTAGGTCACCTCTTTTATACCTCAGTACTGCGGCACGGAGTCAGTATACCTCAGTACTGCAGCACAGAGTCAGTATACCGCAGTACTACAGCACGGAGTCAGTATACCTCAGTCATGCAGCACAGAGTCAGTAAAGTTCGGAAGAATAGCGATACTGGACTTATGAAGGCTCACTGGCTACCACTGCTGCCTCACAGCACTAGGGACCCAGGTTCGATTCCACCCTCAGATGACTGTGTGGAGTTCGCACATTCCCCTTGTGTCTGTGTAATGTGCTTAGGTGGATTGGCCGTGCTAAATTGCCCCATTGTGTCCAGGGATGTGCAGGTGATGTGGATTAGCCATGGGAAATGTAGGGTAGGGAGTGGGTCTGGGTAGGATTCTCTTTGGAGGGTTGGTGTAGACCCAATGGACTGAATGGCCTGCTTCTGCACTGTAGGAATTCTTTGGACGCAAAACATTAACTCGGCTTCTGTCTCTACAGATGCCGGCAGATGTACGGAGTTTCTCCAGCAATTTCTGTGTATATTTTTTTTCTGGTTGCCAGCATCTGTAGCGTTTTGCTGTAATTAGTAAGAATGCAGGTTGATAATGTAACCAGCCACCACTTCTCCCACCCCACCATCCTCACAGGTCATTTTAAAAAGGACTTCTTTATCCCCTAAAGCAGCTGGAGGGGATTTTGGAGAGAGCCCACGTGTACGTACTCCTGGGTTACTGTTGTCTTTTTTTTTCTTCCTCTTTTTCGGAGTTCGCAATGGAACCCGAGGTTGAACCCAAAAAGTTTTGCATTGGTCACTACAGAGAGACGCACAGATTGCTTCAAACCCAAGTGTTTGTCTATCATGGTAAAGCCTGTATTGTAGCTTGTGCTTGCACCGGTGTAAGTGTTATACAACTTGTATGCGTTTTGAAAACTTGAAACATGATAGTGACACTGTCATCCTCATAGTTGTGTGAATTTGAACACAGCACGAGAGAGACATGTGGAGTTTATTCAGCAGAAAATTGCTGACTGCTTCTCCCGACAAGTATTTTGTGTGTGATGTGTTAAATTATGATTTTTTTTTCTTCCGTGTATAATAACTGCAGATTTTATTGACTTATTGTATTGTAATCGGTCATCTTAATTTGCATACAGATGTACATTGAAAGTATTTATACGTGTTGCTTAAGAGAAAAAAATGTTACATTGATGTTTTTTTTAAAAATAATAATGGTGTTGGTTAAAGCCTTGTCACTTGTGCTTTGTGTTTCTTGATGAACACTGTAGGAGATGCGTTTTGGGAAAACCGTGGGATGATGCAGTCTGTATGTACGAGGAGACCTTTTGCAGCTAACCTGTCATAGAATCGTACAGCACTGAAGAGGCCCTTTGGCCCATCGAGTTGGAGCTGACCAATCTATCCAAATCCCAGGCACTTGGCCCACACCTTGAATGTTATGAACATTTCAAGTGCTCATCCAAGTAATTCCATTGTTAGATTATCTAATGCAAAACTAACAGCTGTGTTTATTCCAACATTAAAACATTATCTTAACATTCTACCCTTGCGTTTAATAAACACATTTGCAAAGGTTTGGCATTTAACCTGTGATCAAACTTCTAATTTAATCCATGTTTTCCACTTGCACTGGGCCATGTGAGATTTGTTCATTTCCTTTTTAAATTTTCACCTTTGTCCTGAGTGTTTGATTCACCAATGATGCATCAATGTTTGATCTCTCCTCTCTCTGCCTCTTTCTCTTGACCCTCTTCTGCTACAGTTTGGATGTGAATCTCCTCCGTACAGTACCCGAAATATTTCCTGAGGGGTTATCCAAAGGCAGTAGAACCTAAAACACAGGGAAATGTGGACACCAGAATTTGATTTACTTAAATGAACGTGAATGTTGGAATTTTGTGAATTGGAGTTTTTTTTATAATGGTTAACTTTTACTGCCTGCACAAAGAGCTCATTGAAAAAGCATAATTATAATATAGCAGTGGATTTTTATGTAACTATCTGAAGTGAGGCACTAATTTAATAAGACCATAAATGTAGGAACAGAAGTAGGCCATTGGGTTCCACTCCAACCCTCTGAACAGCATCCCACCTATACCCGCCATTCAATGAAATTATGATTGATCCAATAATCCACAACTTCACTTTCCTGCCTTCTCCCCATAACCTTTGATTCCCTTACTGATTGAAAATCTGACTATCTCATTTTGAATGTGTCATAGAATCCCTATAGTGTGGAAGCAGGCCATTTGGCCTATTGAGTGCACACTGGCCCTCCAAAGAGCATCCCACCCAGACCTATCCCCTATCCAGCATTTCCCATGGCTAATCCACCAAGCCTGCATGTTGCTGCACACTATGGGCAATTTAGCATGGCCAATCCATCTAGCTTGCACATCTTTGGACTATGTGAGGAAACCCGAGCACCCAGAGGAAACTGGCACAGACACAGGGAAAAAGTGCAAACTCCACACAGTCTCCCAAGCATGGAATTGAACCCAGGTCCCTGGCGCTGTGAGGCAGCAGTGCTAACCATTGATCCACTGTGCTGCCCCTGGTGTTTAATGACCCACCCTTGATAACCCTCTGTGATAAAGAATGAGAAAAGCTGCTTATTGTACATCAGATGATGCGGTGTCTTATAATTGCTTGGACTGTTGTTTGTAAAGATGTGTATAACGCAATCTGTTCTGTTGATAACTTGAACCTGTTTAACATCCAGTCAAGATAATATGATATCAAAAACATTTACCAATTGCAGGTAGTTACAGTTTGTAAAATAGAAGGTTGGAGAAACCAGCCTGACATAAGCAATTTTCCCAGATATTTTCCAACATGTTTGACCCTTTAAAGACAGACCTGTAGCAATGCTCAGATACATATCAGACCCTGCTTACCTCGTTATTTTTATGAATTCCAAATTTCGTCATATCAATTGTAAAGTAATGTTTATTTGGCATGACCATTTCAATCTCTTCCATCTTAAAGCAAAAGATATACGTTAGAGACTGGTGATCTATCATTGAGTTACATTACAAATGAAGATATACCTTTCAATGACATGAAAAGGACATGGACAGTGAAAATCTAGTCCATTCATGCTGAATCAAGATGTGAAAGAATGAGAGATGACCTTCTTCAAATATACGAGATTCTTAGGGAACTCAACAGGGGAGATGCAGAAAGGTTGATTCCCTTGTGGGCAAGTCTAGGGCCGCAGGTATAATTTCAGAATAAGGGGTCACATATTTAAGACAGAGATAAGGAGGAATTTTTTCTGAGGGCAGTGAATCTGTGGGATAGGGCTGCATAGGGACAGTCCAGGCTGAGTTGTTAAGTATATTCAAGGTGCGAGAGACAAATCTTTGATCAGTAAGCTTGTCACCTCCTTATACTGGCTTGGAGTCAGTAATGCCTCTGTCTGTGGTTGATTGGAAACCCCAGTTCCTTTGTCATTCAGTATTGAGTGAGACATGGCTGCTCCTTTTTGTTGAATTAGTACAATTACAGAATGGTTACAGCACTGAGGAGGCCATTTGGCCTTCGTACCTTCACCAAACTCTATTATCTTTCATTTATTCATTTTTTGTGGGATATGGGCGTCGCTGGCTGGCCAGCATTTCTTGCCCGTCCCTAGTTGCCTTTGAGAAGGTGGGGATGAGCTGCCTCCTCGGACCGCTGCAGTCCTCCTGCTGTGGGTTGACCCACAATGCCCTTGGGAAGGGAATTCCAGGATTTTGACTCAGCGACAGTGAAGGAACAGCGATATATTTCCAAGTCAGGATGGTGAGTGGCTTGAAGTGGACCTTGTAGTTGGTTGTGTTCCCACGTATCTGCTGCCCTTGTCATAATAGAGTCCCTACAGTATGGAAACAGGCCATTTGGCCCAACAAGTCCAAACCGCCCCTCCGACGAGCATTCCACCCAGACCCATTCCCCTATATTTCCCATGTCTAACCCACCTAGCCTAAACATCCCTGGGCACTACGGGCAATTTAGCATGGCCAATCCACCTAGCCTGCACATCTTTGGACTGTGGGAGGAAACCGGAGCACCCGGCATTGACAATCTAAGGTCATCGAAGGTGAACAGTTGAGAGGGACATTGCAGGTCAGTATTTAGGTTGCAGGCTTGCTTGCCGAGCCGGTGTTTTCGGTTGTAGATGTTTTGTCACCCTGCTAGGTAACACCGTCAGTGCGCCTCCGGTAAAACGTTGGTGTTCTGTCCTGCTTGTTATTTATATGCCTCGGTTTGCTGGGGTGGTTGGCATTATTTCCGGTTCTGCTTTTCAGTGGCTTGTATATCAGAGAAACAGAACTGGAAGTGATGCCAACCACCCCAGCAAACCGAGGATATAAATAACGAGCGGGACAGCATGGGTTCACCGGAGGCGCACTGACGGTGTTACCGAGCACGGTGACAAAACGTCTGCAACCAAACCCATCAGCTCGACGAGCAGGTCCACAACCTCATCCACAACCCGAGCTACACATCTTCTCAAAAACTTTAAAGGTCAGTATTTAGCTCAGCAGTGAAGGGGTCAATATTTAATTCTTTATTCTTTCATGGGATGTGGGTGTTGCTGGCAAGGTTGACATTTGTTGCCTATCCCTAATTGCCCTTGTAACTGAGTGTCTCACTGGGTCATTTCATTGGGCAATTAGGAGTCAACCACATTGCTGTGGGTCTGAAATCACATGTAGGCCAGATCAGGTAAGGCCGGCAGATTTCCTTCCTTGAAGGACCTCGGTATGCCAGATGGGGTTTTACGACAAGCAGTGATCATAGGATAAAGGAGCAGATTTAGGCCATTTGGCCCATAAAGTCTGCTCCGCCATTCAAACATGGCTGATATATTTCTCAACACCATTCTCCTGCCTTCTCCCTGTAACCCTGATCCCCTTACTAATCAAGAACCTATCTATCTCTGTCTTAAATTCACTCAATGACTTGGCCTCCATAGCCCTCTGCAGCAATGAGCTCCACAGATTCACCACCCTCTGGCTGAAGAAATTCCTCCTCATCTCAGTTCCAAAGGGTCGTTCCTTCACTCTGAGGCTGTGCCCTCGGGACGTTGTCTCTCCTACTGGTAAAAACATCTATACCGCGTTCACCCTATCCAGGCCTCTCAGTATCCTGTAAGTTTCAATCAGATCCCCCTCTTCCTTCTGAATGCCAAAGTACAGACCCAGAATCCTCGACCACTCATCATATAACAAGCCTTTCATACCCCAGGATCATTCTTTTAAACCTGTTCTGGATCATCTCCAGGGCCAGCACATCATTCCTTAAAAAAGGGGTCCAAAACTGCTCACAATATTCCAAATGTGGTCTTACCAGAGCCTTATACAGCCTCAGCATCACATTTCCATGCTTGTATTCTCGTCCTCTTGAAATGAATGCAAACATTGCATTTATCTTCCTAACTGCTAACTGACCCTGCATGTTAATCTTAAGAGCACCCTGAACTAGAACTCCAAAGTCCCTTTGTTCTTCAGATTTGCGAAGCCTTTCTCCATTTAAAAAATAGTCTATACCTTTATTCTTCTGACCAAAGCATATACCCTCACATTTTCCCACATTGTATTCTATCTGCCACTTCTTTGCCTGCTCTCCCAGCCAGTCCGAGTCCTTCTGCAGCCTCCCAGCTTCCTCAACACTACCTGTCCTTCTACTTAACTTTGTGTCATCTCCAAACTTAGCATCAAAACCCTCCATTCCTTTGTCCAGATCGTTAATGTATGACGTGAATAGCCTTGGTCCCAACGCTGACCCCTGCAGAACTCTACTATTCACTGATTGCCAACCTGAAAATGACCTCTTTATCCCCATTTTCTGCTTTCTGCCAGTCAGCCAATCCTGTATACATGCCATTTCCGTGCCCCGAACACCATGGGGTCTTATTTAGCAGCCTCCTGTATAGCACCTTGTCAAATGCCTTCTGGAAATACAAATAGATCACATCCACTGGATCTCCTTTGTCTAACTTGCTCATTTCCTGCTCAAAGAATTCTAACCGATTTGTCAGTCATGACCTCCCCTTGATGAAGCCATGCTGACTCAGCCCTATTTTACCAAGCTCTTCCAAGTACACTACAATCTTATTCTTAATAATGGACTCTAAAATCTTACGAACAACTGAGGTCACTGTAACTGGCCTGTAATTTCCTGTCTTTTGCCTCTCTCATACAGGTATTACATTAGCTATTTTCCAGTTCTTTGGGACTCTCCCTGACTCTAGTGATTCCTTAAAGATCCTCACCAATGCCCCTGCAATCTCCTCAGTTATCTCCTTCAGAAACCTGAGGTGTAGTCCATCTGGTCCGGGTGATTTATCCACTTTCAGACCCTTCAGCTTCTCCAGCACCTTCTCCTTAGTGATGGCCAATGCCCTCACCTATGCCCCCTCACTCTCTTGTAGTTCTGGTTTGCTGCTGGTGTTTTTCACTGTGAAAACTGAGATGGTTGTCACAGTCACCATTCAGTACAGCCCTTCGTATTGAAGAAAACTTCCAAAATTTTACAACGGGAAGGAGTGTGGGAAGTTGATATTCCCAAAGTGTTGAAAGATTAATGATTGCAAGCGACCATGGCCTTGCAGTGAAATGGTGAGAACACAGGATAACCAGGAATCTGCTCTGTGCAATGGAAGGTACAGACAGAAACTTTGGATGTAGTTACTTAAACTGGACACTGACCTCTGGTACTCTGCTCAAACAGAGGCACTGAGCATCATAGAGGGACTTCTGGACAGAGGGAGAGTATATTCCAGAGTCATAAGGTCCTGCAAATGTCTCAATGATTGAATCCTTCACGGTACTCCTAGAGAAAACGGTCATCCTGGTTAGTCCTAATCTTCCACCAGTTCTCTCCCACAATCACCCACAGTCTGAAGGTGTGAATTCTCAGTGTGTGGGCTCTCTGCAATCACTATGTGTCAACCCCTAACAGGCCCAGACTTTCCTCAATCTAATTCACACTGAAAGTCACAGGACACCAGGTTATAGTCCAACAGGTTTATTTGAAATCACAAGCTTTTGGAGCGCTGCCCCTTCGTCAGGTGAAGTGACTCACCTTGATGAAGCTGATGAAGGGGCAGCGCTCTGAAAGCTTGTGATTTCAAGTAAACCTGTTGGACTATAACTTGGTGTCCTGTGACTTCTGACTTTGTCTCCCCCCGGTTCCCCCCCGCCCCCCACCAGTGCAACACTGCCACCTTCACATCAATTCACGCTAAATACAGTGACAGAAACTTGACCCTCAAGTTTCCTGTGCCTCAAGTTTCCCACCCATCTGATGATGTGATGAGCCTGGTGTGAAATGAATGCAGGAACTGACTGAGCAGGAGTAGCCATAGCCAATGGAATTCCATCTCCTACCTTCCTGGTACCTCACCCTCAGAGACATCAATTACAGAGGGCATCTTGTCGGGGAGTGTTAGGGGGGCCTACCCAAAATTTTAGAGGTTTTGTAGTACAATGGGTAGTGCCACTGCCTCTGGGCTAGAGCCTTTATGTTCAAGTTTGGCTTTCATTAATAGAGGGATTGAGTTCAAGAGCCGTGAAGTTATGCTCCAGCTATACAAAAGCCTGGTTCGGCTACATCTGGAGTATTGTGTCCAGTTCTGGTTGCCTCATTACAGGAAAGATGTGGAAACGTTAGAAAAGGTGCAGAGGAGATTTACCAGGATGTTGCCTGGAATGGAGGGAAGGTCTTACGAGGAAAGGTTGAGAGAGCTAGGGCTTTTCTCTTTTGAACGACCAAGGATGAGAGGTGACTTGATAGAGGTGTACAAAATGATCAGAGGTATAGATAGAGTAGACAGCCAGAGACTTTTTCCTAGGGTGGAGGTAGCTTTTACGAGGGGACATAGTTTTAAAGTGAAAGGAGGTAGATATCGGAGAGATGTCAGAGGTAGGTTCTTTACTCAGAGAGTGATAGGGGCGTGGAATGCATTGCCGGAGAGGATAGTGGAGTCGGCCTCATTAGGGGCATTTAAGTGGCTATTAGATAGGCGTATGGATGATAGTATAAGGTAGTGGTGGAGGTTAGATAGACCTTAGGTTCAGGGTAAAAGTTTGGCACAACATTGTGGGCTGAAGGGCTTGTACTGTTCTATGTTCTCACATCAGGATCTGGTGGCCACAGAGGAATCATAGAATCCTGACAGTGTGAAAGTCCACACCGTCCCTCTGAAGGTCATCCCAACCAGACATACTCCCCAACCCCCCCAACCACTGTAACCCTGCATTTCCCATGGCTAACCCACCTAGCCTGCACATCATTGGACTCTATGGGAAATTTAGCATGGCCAATCCACCCTAACCTGCACATCTTTGGACTGTGGGAGGAAACCAGAGTGCCCAGAGGAAACCCATGCAGACACAGGGAGACATTGCAATCTCCACACAGATAGTCACCTGATAGTAGAATTGAACCCAGGTCCCTGGTGCTGTGAGGCAGCAGTGCTAACCACTGAGCCACCATGCTGCCCCCCCCCCATTAGGGCATTCCAATAAGCAAGCCATAAGAATGCAAGAGTCTCCTGGTCAGCCATCCTGCACAAAGCAATGGGAAACTAATTCCAAGGATGGCAGGACTGGTGTGTGGAGACAGACTGTATCAGTTTGGAATATATTCACACGAGTTTCGAAAGAATGAGAATGGATGTGATAACCTCTACAAGGCCCACGGAGAATCACTAACTAATGTCCTTATGGAGCTCATTGAGATGAGTTTCCATGGTAACAGTCCTGCCCGGCTGCAACTCATCACCTGAGCCCTGTATAAAGCTGACCCAGGGGTGCGTCTGGAGAATAATCGGGACTAGCCTATATATACCGCAATGTGGAGGTGCTGGAGTTGGACTGGGGTGGACAAAGTCAGAAGTCACACACCAGGTTATAGTCCAACAGGTTTATTTGAAATCACAAGCTTTCGGAGCAATGCTCCTTCGTCAGGTGAGTCACTTCACCTAGGCCAAAAACCTTTGGGACTATAACCTGGTGTCATGTGATTTCTGACCTTGTCCACCCCCAGTCCAACACCGGCATCTCCACATCAGGGAAAAAGTGGGAACAAGGGACTAAGTTGGCTGATCAGCCATGATCATATTGGATGTCGGAGCAGGCTTGAAGGGATGAATGGCCTCCTCCTGCTCCTAGTTTCTATGTTTTGATGTAAACCACTGCCATACATTGGCCATAACGGTTGACCAATCCAGTGGAAATCCATGGCCCCACTCTTGTAAGTGAGGACCAGAGAAAAGGCAGACAAATTGCAAATATGACATTAACACGCAAATACCTACCAGGCTGCATCAAAGTTGACATGTCTGGGCCTACTGTAACGCCACTTAGCATACACAATGGTGGAGAACACTCTGTCGCTCACTTCGGGCAATGTAGTGAATCGATCTTTTCGGAATCCTTCAAAGCCGGACTGTGTTGTTTTTAAGACTCTCATGTCTTTCAATCCAGAGTGAATCACAGGGGGTTCTGCAAAGTGGCCAGGAGTACAAGGGTGAGAATCTCACCACTACAGTAATCAGCAAGTGGCAGCCTCAGTGTAACATGCCCCTCCCAACCTGTCAGCCAATTGGCACCTTTTTCTCCTGCAATGTACATTGTCGTGATGGCTTGAAATTTGGCATTCTTGCATGTGTCCTGATGGGAGTAAAATGGTAAGTTTCAGCAATGCATGTCAGTTCTCGACAATATTCAAAGTCTCACAAATTGGAACTTTTTTTGAGGAGGTGACTAGATGAGCTGATGAGGGTAATGCAGTTGATATAGTCTGCATGGACTTCAGTAAAGCTTTTGACAAGGTTTCACATGGCAGGCTGGGTCAAGAAGCTAAGAGCTCATGCGATCCAGGGTAGCTTCATGGCAGGAAGCAGGGGTTGACAGTTGAAGAGTTTTTGTGACCGGATGGCTGTGCCTAGTGGCATACCATGGGGTTCAGTGCTGGATCCCTCACTGTTTGCTGTGGACATTAATAATCTAGACATAAATGTTGGAGAAGTTGTAGACTTCCTCGCCGAGCCGGTGTGTTTAATTGCAGATGTTTCGTCACCCTGCTAGGTAACACCGTCAGTGCGCCTCCAGTAAAACGTTGGTGTTCTGTCCTGCTTGTTATTTATAAGCCTCGGTTTGCTGGGGTGGTTGGCATTACTTCCAGTTCTGTTTCTCAGTGGTTTGTGTATTGGGTCCAGTTCAATGTGTTTGTTGATGGAGTTCCGGTTGGAATGCCAGGCCTCCAGGAATTCCCTGGCGTGTCTCTGTTTGGTTTGTGTTATTATGGATGTGTTGTCCCAGTCAAATTCATGTCCTTCTTTGTCTGTATGTATTGAGACCAGTGAGAATTGGTTGTGCCCCTTGGTGGCTAGTTGGTGTTCATGTATCCTTATTGTCAGTTTTCTTCCAGTTTGGCCTGAGTAATGTTTCTCACAGTCCTTGCACAGTATTTTGTATAATACGTTAGTTTTATTGGTTGTGGGTATGGGATTGTTTACGTTCGTCAGTAGCTGTTGCAGGGTGGTTGTTGGTTTGTGGGATACCCTGATACCTAGGGGTCTGAGTAGTTGTGTGGTCATCTCTGAAATGTCTCTGATGTACAGGAGGGTGACTACGGAGTGTACAATCTGCCGTTACCTCTGTGACAGACCGCAACACGGCCAAACACACAAGTCTCACTACACACAGACAAAGAAGGACACGAATTTGACTGGGACAACACTTCCATAATGGCACAAGCCAAACAGAGACATGCCAGGGAATTCCTGGAGACCTGGCATTCCGACTGGAACTCCATCAACAAACACATTGAACTGGACCTGATATATAAACCACTGAGAAACAGAACTGGAAATGATGCCAACCACCCCAGCAAACCAAGGCATATAAATAACAAGCAGGACAGAACACCAACATTTCACAGGAGGCACACTGACGATGTTACCTAGCAGAGGGACAAAACGTCTGCAATCAAACACACCGGCTCAGCGAGCACGTCTACAACCTCATCCACAACCCGAGCTACAAATCTTCTCAAAAACTATAAATGTTGGAGGTATGATTCGTAAGTTTGTAGATACCATGAAAATTGGTGGTGTGATAAATAGCTAGGAGGAAAGCCTTAGACTAGAGGATGATATAGAAGGGCTGGTCAGATGGGCTGAATAATGGCAAATGGAGTTCAATCCTGATAACTATGAGTTGGGAGGACTATCAAGGCAAAGGACCACACGGTGAATGATTGGACCCTAGGAAGTATAGAGGATCAGAGCGACCTTGCTGTGCATTTCCATTGATCTTGGAAAGCAGCAACACAATGGTTAAGAGGTATATAGGGCACCTGCCTTTAATATTCAAGACATAGAATTTGGGAGCAGGGAGTTTATTGTGGAACTGTATATAACATTAAGTCAAACCACGGCTGGAGCACTGTGTGCAGTTCTGGTCACCACGTTACAGGAAGGATGTGATTGCACTGGAGAGGGTGCAGAGGGGATTCGCCAGGATTTTGCTGGGAATGAAAATGGTAAAGTGATGAAGAGAGGCTGGAGAGGCTGGGGCTATTTTCCTTAGAGCAGAGGAAGCTGATGTGAGACCTGATTGAGCTCTGAGGGGACATAGACAGAGCAGATAGGGAGAAACCTCCCCTCAATAGAGGGTTCACTAACCAGGGGACACTGCTTTCAAGTAAGGAGCAGGAGATTTGGAGATGATTAGAGAAAAAAATCCTTTTCACCCAGAGGGTTGTTGGTATCCAAAACTGACTGCCTGAAAGGGTAGTGGGGTGGGAACCCTCAAGACATTTAGGAATGATTTTAACAAGAACTTGAAAAGCCACAACATGCAAGGCCATGGGCTCAGGAATGGGATTAGAATAGATGAGTGTTTGGTGACCAGCACAGACACAGTGGGCTGAAGGGCCTCTTTTCCATGCTGTATGAACCCCGTGACTGTATTGTACATAGCTCAGAAGCTCTGAGGACATTGAGAATCAAGCACATCAGGTGATATTGAATTGTAAGTTCATTAGTAAAGCTAAGACTGACAGGTTGCTGGCCTGAAAGAGCATTCGTGACCCAGCTGGTTACATCACTCCTGAGATTATTCAGATTGGTTTCGCTGAAATTTCTTCAGCAATGAAAACAACAAGAGTTGGAACCAAGGGCTTACCATTTTCGATCTGTTCAACTTCACAAAAATGTGTTGCTTCTTGAGTATGAACAAAGGTGTGTACATGGCCTACACCATCCTGTATTCAAAATAAATTCAGAAACATTCATTAATTTTCCTGCTCAGCACACTTCCTATAAAGTGCAGTTAGGTACAGGCCAATAAATTTAAGGTTATTAAAAAACAATGATCTGAAAAGCACCGCTCGCAAGGTCATTTGTATCTGATTCATTAATAACTTTCAGGAGGGGATGCTGACTTAAAAATGAGAAAGGACTGTGAGGAATGTGCAGGAGACTGGGATTAATTGGATATTCTTTCAAAGAGGCAGAATAACTGCCCCATGTTCTTAATCATTCCTTTTTTGTCATCGTACTGGCTGGGGTCACTGTGAAGGTCCCATCATCTCTGGGGCAGCACGGTGGCTCAGTGGTTAGCACTGCTGCCTCACAGCACCAGGGACCTGGGTTCAATTCCACTCTCGGGTGACTGTCTGTGTGGCGTTTGTATGTTGTCCCTGTATCTACATGAGTTTTCTCCCAAAGTCACAAAGATGTGCAGATCAGGTGGATTAACCATGGGGAATGAAGGGTTACAGTGTGGTTCTGTGTGGGTTGCACTTTGGAGAGTAAGTATGGGCCAAATGGCCTGCTCCCATGCTGTAGGGATTCAATTATCTCCACCTTGCTTGAGGCAAGGTGACTCTCAGGTTAAAATCACCACCAGCCCCCTTTCTCTAATTGAGGGAGCTGCTCTGGGACCGTGGTCACTTTGCCAGAGTGAATCTTGCAAGAGGGAGCTTGAATGTGGGGTTTGCTCTCCCAATGGCCAAAGTAAATGTGACAGGGACATACTGAAGTCTTCACTGGGCAGCCTTAATATTGACTTCAACTGTTAGAGAAGCTTGTCCAAGTATTACAGCAGCCAGCACAACCAAATGAGACAGGGTAGGGGGGGACATCCTTTTACAAGTAAGTGCACATCAGAGCGAGAGAGAAAATCTTGAGTCAGCACCTTGGCCAAAACCCAGATGTCTCTCCTCTCCTGTCGTCAGGGCAACAGAACCGTCTGGACCCAGACTGGACTCAGCAATTATCTGCACACCCACCGGTAACACACACGGTCCTTTTCTTCTCAAAGGGTCCGTAAGACCACAAGAAATAGGAACAGGAGTAGGCCATTCAGTCCTTCAAGCCTGTTCCATGATTCAATAGGATCCTGGCTGATCCGACATTCCTCAGGTCTGCTTTCATGCCCTTTCCCCACATCCCTGGATTTCCCAACTGATCAAGGATCAGTCCATCTTGCTTGGACATGCTGTGATTCTCTGAGGATATAGAGATACTGTATGTGTTTGGGGATGATTTGCTCATGAAAACTGCATTTGCAAAGGAAGCCCTTCCCCCCACAGCTGATAAGCACTTCTTGTTCTTGGGGACAGCTTCGCTGCTTTGTGGTTCATTCCCCTTCAAGCCACTCACCATCCTGGACTGGTGGCCAAGTCATCGAGTATATTTAACACAGGGATAGATAGGTTCTTGATTAGTGAGGGGATCAAGGGTTAGGGGGAGAATGCGGTTGAGAATCATATCAGTCATGATCGAATGGCAGAGCAGACTCAAGGGGCTGAATGCCAGAGGTTAATGGAAATTAATTAACAAATGGCATGTTATGTAAAGGGTATTAACCGTACTAATTACTCACACAGAACATCTACAGGCTTAGTTTGCATCTTCCATCTAAATACAGCAGTTCCCTAGCATTTAATACAGTTTAGTAACACGGAGTGGTATGTCACAACTCTCTCAGGGAGTCAGGGTTATTATGGCATGAACTAGACTCACCGTATAAATACAGTAGGTATAACAAGCACATCATAGGCTAGGAATTCTGCAACAAGTAACTCACCTCCTGACTCCCCAAAGCCTGCCCACCATCTACAAGGCACAAGTCAGGAGTGTGATGGAATACTCCCCACTTGCCTGGATGGGTGCAGCCCCAACAACACTCAAGAAGCTTGACACCATCCAGGACAAAGCAGCCCGCTTGATTGGCACCACATCCACAAACATCCACTCCAGTACCAATGCACAGTAACAGCAGTGTGCATTATCTACAAAATGCATGAGAGAAATTCACCAAGTCTCCTTCGCATGTTCCAAACCCATCTAGATGGACAAGGGGATCAGATATGTGGGAACAGCACCACCTGCAAGTTCACCTCACTGTCCTAACTTGGAAATATATTGCTGTTCCTTCACTGTGTCGCTGGGTCAAAATCCTGGAATTCCCTCCCTAAGGACATTGTGGGTCAACCTACAGCACATAGACTGCAGCGGTTCAAGAAGGCAGCTCAGCACCACCTTCTCAAGGGGCAACTAGGGATGGGCAATAAAAATGACTGAACCCCACATCCTGTGTGCAAAGTTAAAAATATAAAACTCAACTAAGACAACCACAGGGACACAAGAGTTGTCCTCTGCACTTAAAGCTCATGCAAAGCTTGTTTCTCCTGACCAATGTTCAGCACCTCCTACCAAAGAGTTCTGTTGTGTGGCTGCCTGTTGTATTGGCCTGGCCCAGCATGGATGCTCCCTAGAACGGTTCACTCTTCGTAACAGTAGCTTGCATTTATATATCACTTTGACCATAATAAAACATTCCAAACTGCTATCCACAATTGCAGTCAATCAAACTTTAACCCCGAGCCACACCTGGCAGTAAGATGGTCATAAATTTGGTCTAATTTAAATTTCTGCAAAGTACCTTAAAGGAGGAATAGAGAAGTAGAAAAGCAAAGAGATTTAACAGTGAGAATTCGGGAGCTCCTACCTTTGACAGTTGGCAGTCAGTGGTGAAATGATAAAAGTTAAGGAGACATTGGAGATGGAGGAGCACAGATATCATGCAGGATTGGAGCCAGGTACAGAGATCACGAGAGGTGAGGCCAGCAAAGGATTTCAAAACAAGCAATGAGAAGTGTTTGGTTCATGAGAAGAAGCAATTTGGGTCAGGGTTGAAAGTGGTAACAAGCACTCATGGGATTAAATTCAAACAAAACATTATCATGTCTCAGTAACTTTTGTCTGAAATCCTTACTTTCTCCAGGCGTTTCCAAGGTGCCTCCTGAATGTAGACCGTCGTCCGTTTAACATGTTGAAAGGAAGTCAAGAAGTGGTCACATATATCCAGGGCAAATTCTTCAATCGTTCGAATCTGACAAGACATAACATTTCATAAGACCATAAGCAGCAGTAGGCCATTCAGCCCATCAAGACTACTCTGCCATTCAATGAGAGATCTGATAATCCTCAACTCCACTTTCCTGCCTTATCCCCATGGCCCTTGATTACCTTCCTGATTAATAATGTCATTCTCAGCCTAGAATATATTTAATGACCCAGCCTCAACAGCCCTGTATAGATGAACCACCTTCTTTCACCATTAACTGAGGGCATTACATGTTTTTTTAATCTTTCACTCAACTGTTCTTGAGTCAAACCTACCCTTCTTCACAGTTCTATTCAAAATGTCACCTCCTAAACTGACAGACAGAACAAGGAGAGTAAGTTCAAACAGATTGCTGGAGTAGGAGAGTGGTGTGGTGTTAATGTTACTGGTTTAATAACATACCCTCTGGGGATGTGAGTTCAAGTCTCAATATAGCCAAATCCAATTAATTGGAATTGAGAAGCAGCCTCTACTATCGTGACAGCTGTTATTGCATTGCCCTTAATGGGCTTTGCCTGTAAACTATTTAGTTGGAAACACAGATGATTTACTGTTTGTGGTTACCAATGAGATTAAAAAAATTCAGAGTGATTTGGTGATGGGAATAGAACCTGGTTCACTGAGGCAATGGGCCAGTAGTATTATCACTAGTCTATTCATCCAGAGATCCAGGGAATGTTGTGGGGACCTGAGTGTGAATCCTGCCGTGGTGTATAGTGAAATTTGAATTCATAAAACTTGGTTCACCAATGTCTTTTGCTGTGGAAGGAAATCGGCTGGCCTGTCTCCAGATCCTCAGTAACGAGGTTGGAAACTGTCAGGAGGATAGCCTTAGATTACAGGAGGATTTAGATGGGCTGGTCAGTGGCAAATGGAGCTCAATCCAGATAAATGTGAGGGTGATGCTCTTGGGCAGGACACACATGACAAAGGAATACATGAATGAACAGTGGGATTCTGCAATGAGATCAGAGGGACTTTGTATCTACGCTGGTACCTTAAGGTATCAGGGCAGGTAGGCAAAGTAGCTAAGAAAGCATTTGGTACGTTTGCCATTATTAGCTGTAGCATAGAGTTTGAGAGCAGGGGATGATGCTGGAACTGCATAAAACATTGGTTAGCCCACAGCTCGAATATTGTGTGCAGTTCTGGAATCCATATTATAGGAGGAATGTGATTGCACCGAAGAAGGTCCAGTAGAGATTTACCAGCATGTTAGAAACAAAAACAGAAATTGCTGGAAAAACTCAGCAGGTCTGTGTAGAGAAATCGGAGCTAACGTTTCAAGGCCACCTGCAAGTTCCCCTCCAAGCCACTCACCATCCTGACTTGGAAATATACCGCCATTCCTTCAGTGTGGCTGGGTCAGAATGTCAAAATCCTGGAATTCTGTCCCGAACGGCATTGTGGGTGGTTCTACACCACACACCCACAGCAATGGCTCAAGATGACCCCCCGACACTTTCCCGAGGCCCACAAAGGATGGGAGATTATTGCTAACCTTGCCAACAAAGCCCAAGTCCTGACAATGAATGAGAAGAGGAAATGCCCCCCCCTCCCCCCGGTTCTGTGAGCGTATCCATTGTTGTCCTGCTCTGTACTGTGCAAGATAACAGACCGTGCCTGCTCCAATAGTTTCTGCATCTACATTGAGGTTTCCAATCCTCTAGGAATGCCATAGAGATGTCGGGAATGGAAGATTTCTCCCAAGGCACACGCAGCCCGGGTGGAATACCATAGGAGGTAAGAATTGTAGTTATTTCATTATTTTGGGGATATTTGTTCCAAAAATACTGGATTTGGGAAAGAAGAAGAACAGTACAGAAACAGACCCTTCAGCCAAGCAGGCCTGCGCTGACACATGATGTCTTTCTAAGCTAAAAACCTTTCACCTCTATACAGTCCATAACCCCCTATTCCCTGCCTACTCATGTATCTGTCAAATGCCTCCTAAACGTTGATACTGTATCCATCTCCACCACCTCCTCTGGCAGCACATTCCAGGCACTTAGCACACTCTGTGTAAAAAAATTTACCCCCCACATCTCCTTTAAACTTACCCCCTTTTACTTTAAACTTTGTTCCCGAGTAATTGACATTTCTACTCTGGGAGAAAGACCCCTAATATCCATTCTATCCATGCCTTTCATAATTTTGTAAATGCCAATCAGGTTGCCCCCTCATCCTTTAATGTTCAAGTGAGAACAAATCACGTCTGTCCAACCTCTCCTCATAGCTGATACCCTCCAAACCAGGCCACACCCCGGTAAACTGTTTCTGTGCCCTCTCCAATGCCTCTACATCCTTCTGTCAGTGTGGCGACCTGAACTGTATGCGATATTCTAAATGTGGGGCCGAACTAAAGTTCTATACAACATGACTTGCCAATTTTTGTACTGTATGCCCTGACCGATGAAGGCATGCCATATGCCTTCTTGACCACTTTATCACTTTGAATAATAGGTCAGCACAACATCATGGGCCGAAGGGCCTGTACTGTGCTGTACTGATCTATGTTCTATGTCTATATTTATCCACTTGTGTTGCCACTTTCAGGGAACTGTAGACCTGTAAGCCTAGATCCCTCTGTTTGTTGAAGACAGCGATTTCATTCAGTCTGGCTCCTCGTTGGTTAATGAAGCAGCTTTTACCTTTCTAATGGGTGGGACAAGGTACTGAGTGGCCATTCTCGTGTGTACAGGACGGGACAATTAGAAGTAACGGGTCACCTTGATATTACAATAGTGGGTCTAATTGTTCGAAAGGTCTATGTTGACTATGTGAGTCTGGTAGCTGACTCATGCTCACTGTGTTCAATTGAACCACCACCATCATCATCGGCGGTCCCTCATGGATGAGGGGTGACTCTCCCCCACTCTCAGGGTGACTTTGTCAGTGGCTATACAGACCGGTACAGCTATTGCAGGCTCTGTTACCCTTGGGGCAGATGGTGGGTCATGGGGAGGGGTGGGTAGGGCGTTGGTGTGACAGCGCGCTCCTTTCACTGTTTTCGCCCGGCTTCCGATTTTTCCCGATGGCAAGTCTCGAGGAGCTCAACGCCTTTCCGGATGCTCCTCCTCCACTTTGGACGGTCTTGGGCCAGTAATTCCCAGGTGTCTGTGGGAATGTCGCACTTTGCCAGTGAGGCCTTGAGGGTATCACTGAAGCGTTTCCTCTGTCCACATGGGGCTCGCCTGCCATTTCGGAGCTGGGAGTGGAGTAGCTGCTCGGGGAGTCTCGTGTGGGTCATGCAGATGATGTGCCCAGCCCATCAAGGGCAGTCAGTGCCTTGATGCTCGGAATGTTAGCCTGGTCGAGGACACCAGTGTTGCTGCATTGTCTTCCCAGCGGATTCGCAGGATCATGTGCAGGCAGCATTGGTGATCCTGCTGTAGCACCCCGAGGTGTCTGCTGTAGAACTGAACCACACCTAAGCTGAACCACCGTACATAAGCAGACAGCCAGCAAAGCTATGATATAGTGATGTGTCCAATGGCTTAATGCTGAACTCTCAATGATACTGTGTGCAAGAGGAGAAATGAAACAGTCCTGGTGAAGGCTCCAGGACTGTTTCATTTCTCCTCTTGCACACAGTATCATTGAGAGTTCAGCGTTAAGCCCGAAACATCAACTCTCCTGCTCCTCTGATGCTGCCTGGCCTGCTGTGTTCATCCAGCTCTATACCTTGTTATCTCAGATTCTCCAGCATCTGCAGTTCTTGCTATCTCCGAGAGATGAAATAGTCTGTACCGGTGACAGTGCACTTACCTGGAAGTGGGGAGACAGTGATGTTGTGTTAATGTCACTGGGGTAGTGATATGGAAAAGCAGGCCCATAAAGGTTCCTATCCTGTGGTACATGGTGAAATCTGATTTCAATGAAAATAGGCTTAACAGGAGCTACCATCAGTTGTTGCAAAATTAAAAAGTAATGATCTGGTTCATTGCAGTCCTTTAAGGAAGGAAATCTACCCTCCTAAGTCTGTATATGACTACACACCCACAACTATGTGGTTGATACTGGGAACTTGGAACTTAGAACTTAGATCATGAGCATAAATGCTGGTCTCAGCAGTGATGCTCACATCCCATGAACAAACAAAATACGTGTATTATGTACTCTGGTGTAAATAAAGGGCTTCTGAAGTAACATATCATAGTCACTGATAGAGAGAGATCTTTTCCAAGTCAAAACAGTCCAATGGCTACCTGAGGGGATATCTAAATTGTATTCAAACTGGAACCAAACCACAAGCCAATGCTCGAAGCTATAAGCTGAAGACAATTCAAAACATTGTACGGACCTCTGGAGATAAAGTTCCTGCACACTGAGCAATTACTGTCTGTTTTATACTGCTGTGAAGAAAATCAAGCATGTCCAATACACAAACAAAATATCCAGGATCTGTTCATAGAGTGCTGAAACCCTCTTCAATAAAGATAAAGTTTAGAGATGATTTAAGGAAGATTCATTTGTGGGATGTGGGCTGGCCAGCATTTCTTGCCCGTCCCTAGTTGCCCTTGAGAAGGGGGGGGTGAGCTGCCTCCTTGAACCGCTGCAGTCCTCCTGCTGTGGGTTGACCCACAATGCCCTTAGGGAGGGAATTCCAGGATTTTAACCCAGCGACAGTGAAGGAATGGCAATATATTTCCAAGGTCAGGATGGTGAGTGACTTGGAGGGAAACTTGGAGGTGGTGGTGTTCCCATATGTCTACTGTCTTTGTCCTTCTAGATGGAAGTGGTCATGGGTTTGGAAGGTGCTGTCTGAGGATCTTCAGTGAATTTCTGCATTGCATCTTGTAGATAGTACACACTGCTGCTACTGAGTGTCGGTGGTGGAGGGAGTGGATGTTTGTGGATGTGGTGCCAATCAAGCGGGCTGCTTTGTCCTGGATGGTGTCAAGCTTCTTGAGTGTTGTTGGGGCTGCACTCATCCAGGCAAGTGGGAAGTATTCCATCACTACTGGGTAGGTGATGGCCTAGTGGTATTATCGCTAGACTATGAATCCAGAAACCCAGCTGATGTTCTGGGGACCTGGGTTCAAATCCCACCCCGGCAGATGGTGGAATTGGAATTCAAAAAAAAAATCTGGAATTAAGAATCTACCGATCACCATGAAATCATTGTCGATTGTTGGAAAAACTATATCTTTCAAGGGAGGAAATCTGCCACCCTCACCTGGTCTGGCCTATGTGTGACTCCAGACCCACAGCAACGTGGTTGACTCTCAACTGCCCTCTGAAATGGCTGAGCAAGCCATTCATTTGTACCTATCGACACAAAGAATTGAAACTGGACGGATCACCTGGCATTGACCTAGGCACTGGAAAAGGCAACAGCAGAAATAGCCCTGTCGACCCTGCAAAGTCCTCCCCCCTCACTAACATCTGGGGGTTAGTGCCAAAATTGGGAGAGCTGTCCCACAGACTAGTTAAGCAACAGCCTGACATTGTCATACTCACAGAATCATACCTTACAGACAATGTCCCAGACACCACCATCACCATCCCTGGATATGTCCTGTGCCACAGGCAGGACAGACCCACAGAGGTGGGGGCACAGTGGGATACAGTGTTGCTCTGGGAGTCCTCAGCATTGACTCTGGACCCCATGAAGTCTCATGGCTTCAGGTTAAACATGGTGCAAGGAAACCTCCTGCTGATTACCACATACCGGCCTCCCTCAGCTGATGAATCAGTACTCCTCCATGTTGAACAACACTTAGAGGAAGCACTGAGGATGGGCACAAAATGTATTCTGGGTGGGGGATTTCAGTGTCCACCACTAAGAGTGGCTCAGCAGCAGTATTACTGATCGAGCTGGTTGGGTCCTAAAGGACATCGCTGCTCGACTGGGTCTGCGGCAGGTGGTGAGGAACCAACAAAAGGGAAAAACATACTTGACCTCATCCTTATCAATCTGCCAGCTGCAGTTGTATCTGTCCATGGCAGTAAGAGTGACCATCGCACAGTCCTTGTGGAGATGAAGTCCCGCCTTCACTTTGAGAATAACCTCCATCGTATTGAGTGGTACTATCACCGTGCTAAATGGGACAGACTTTGCACAGATCTAGCAACTCAAGACTGTGCATCCATGAGGCGCTATGGGCCATCAATAGCAGCAGAATTGTACTCCAGCACAATCTGTAACCTCATGGCCCGGCATATCCCCCACTCAACCATTACCATCAAGCCAGGGGATCAACCCTGGTTCAATGGAGAGTGCAGGAGGGTATGCCAGGAGCAGCACCAGGCATACCTGAAGATGAGGTACCAACCTGGTGAAGCCACCAAACAGGAACAGGAAAACTTGAGCGCCAAAAGTGCCATAGTATATAAGGCTACGTCCTGGTAAATGGGACTAGACCTGATAGGTGCTTGATGACCAGCATGGACATGATGGGCTTAAGAGTCTCTTTCCATGCTGTAAAATTCTGACTCGATAGTCTGGTATGCAAGGAGGACTGGGTTGTTGTTAGCTTAGTTAGCAGGGCAGTAGTTTATAATGCAGACTGATACCAGCAGCACAGGTTCAATTCCCACACCAGCTGAGGTTACCATGAAGAACTCTCATTCTCACCCTCTCCCTTAGAAATCATAGAATCCCCACAGTGTGGAAACAGGCCCTTCAGCCCAGCAAGTCCACACCAACCCTGAGAGCATCCCACCCAGACCCATCCCCCTGTGACCCATCTAATCTGCACATCCCTGAACACTATGGGCAATTTAGCACGGCCAATCCACCTAACATGCACATCTTTGGGCTGTGGGAGGAAACCGGAGCATCCGGAGGAAACCCACGCAAACACAGGGAAAATGTGCAAACTCCACACAGACAGTCACCCAAGGGTGGTATCGAACCTGAGTCCCTGGCACTGTGAGGCAGCAGTGCTAACCACTGTGCCACTGTGCTTTGAATCACCATCACAATGGGACTATGATAAATTTACATTTACAGCAAAAAAAAACAGAAGCACACTTACCCCTTTGAGCTTAGCCAAGGCGTGAATGGTATTTTTCATTGTGTCAGTAGGAATAATATCAGAATTGTCTCCGTGCATGTAATCCTTTAAGGTCTTCAGTGTAAGCTGAATGTTTGCTTCGATCTCTTTGATGTAATGATGCTTTCCCTCTCTCCTGATTGTGAGGACCTTCACTACATCTTTCCCGTATCCCGTCCGGACAAATTCCACATCTCCCTGCTTTACCAAGGAAAACACAATCTGAGCAAAACCATCAGGGAGAACATTCTGGAAGTATAAAGCTCCGTTAGATAGCACCTGAGAACAGATAGAGAGAGAGGGAGGGAGGGAAAGAGAGGGAGAGAGAGAGGGAGGGAAAGAGAGGGAGAGAGAGAGGGAGGGAGAGAGAGAGGGAGAGGGAGAGAGAGGGAGAGACAGAGGGAGGGAGAGAGAGAGAGGGAGAGAGAGAGGGAGAGGGAGAGAGAGAGAGAGGGAGAGAGAGGGATGAAGAGAGAGAGGGAGGGAGAGAGGGAGAGGGAGGGAGAGAGAGGAAAGATGTCTGAGTCCAACCTTTGATTGTCTGGAGGAATTTTGTCAGGGTTCTGACTGTCGTTCACTCTCAACAGATGCTCCCTCATCACATGAGACCCTCCAGAATCATCCCCAGTGTTTTATCTAAAAATCGGGGAGGTAATGGTGCAATGGTATTGTCGCTAAACAATCAATCCAGAGGCTTCAGGTAATCTCTGGGGACCTGGTGTCAAATCCCACTGTGGCAGATAATCGAATTGAGATTCAATAAAAGCCTGGAGTTGAGAGTCTAATGATATTGTTGGTTAGGGGGATTAAAAACCCATTTGGTTCATTAATATCCTTTAGGGAAGGAACCATTCTGTCCTTAACCAGTCTGGTGTACATGTGACTCCAGGACCATAGCAACATGATTGAGTTTTAAGTATTCCTCCAGACAATTAGGGATGGATAATAAATGCTGGGTGAGCCAGCGTTGCCCATGTTCAGTGAGTGGATATTGACAATATTGTTCTTTTGTTGTGTCAGAGTGCTATAAGAGTGTCAATAAGAATACCTCAGAAAGGAAAAACACTGCAGTATAAGACTATGAAGTGTACACATAAAAACCAAAGTTCACAGTTAGGTCACCTGCTGTTGGCACTTCTACCTGCTGGAACCATACATGGAGAGTTTGGTTAATGATGGAGAACTGTGGAAGCCTAGAATGTGATGCTCACACAGGTTAAAATCACAGAAAATTAAGAAATAGGAGCAGGAGTAGACCATTCAGTCCATCAAACCTGTCCCACTGTCCAATATGATTATGGCTGATTATGGTGTAAATCCACTTTGCAGCTCATTCCCCATATCTCTTGAATTCCTGAAAGACCAAAACATCTATCCTTCCAGGCTTAAGTGATGGACCATCAACAATCTTAAGCAGTCTGGGAAGAATGTCCCGCAGTCAGTATCATGGTAAAGCAGTCTGGGAAGAGTGTCCCGCAGTCAGCATCGCGGTGAAACAGTCTGGGAAGAGTGTCCCGCAGTCAGCGTCACGGTGCAGCAGTCTGGGAAGAGTGTCCTGCAGTCAGCGTCACGGTGAAGCAGTCTGGGAAGAGCATCCCGCAGTCAGCGTCGCGGTGAAGCAGTCTGGGAAGAGCGTCCCACAGTCAGCATCGCGGTGAAGCACTCTGGGAAGAGCGTCCCGCAGTCAGCATCGTGGTGAAGCACTCTGGGAAGAGTGTCCCGCAGTCAGCATCGTGGTGAAGCACTCTGGGAAGAGTGTCCCACAGTTCACAGTGGAGCATTCTGGGAAGAATATCAGTAAAGTAACTCAAGGCAATGGGAAGCAGCTGCTTATGTGAGTAAGATGAGGTAAATATTTATACCACGCTTATTGCTTATAGTTTGAAGGATTTTCATTTGATTTTCAAGTTAGTGAGATCAATAGTACAAAGGTCCAGCAAGGAAGGAACCTAGAATAATTGATTTGAAGGGCAAGTTAAGGGTTTAGTTTAAAGGCATAAGTCATGGAGGGACAGCTCAGGGCCGTGGTTTGCTGCTCCAACTCTATGTAAGAAGGAAGTCAGACACCATTGCAGTGCCTAGGGCTAGTATGTGTACAGGAAGGGTCTCCAGCTACAGGTCCAGGAAGTCTGGATTTTGGAGCTGGAGCAGGGGCTTTGTAAATTCATTCCCAGGTGTGGGTGACCGCTGGCCATCCATAATTACCCAGAGGTCTTCTGAGAGTCAACCACATTGCTGTGGGTCTGGAGTCATTGAGACCAAACAGGGTAAGGCTGGCAGATCTCCTTCCATAAAATTTTGTTGAATTCAAATTCCACCATTGGCCATGATTGGTTTGGACCCAGGTTCCCAGGAATATTGCGTGGGTCTCTGAATTAACAGTCCAGGATAATACCACTGGACCGTCAACTCCCGATAACTGGGGGCACTGTGTAGTAATAATGTATAATGTGGATAAATTGAGGTCATCCACTTTGGTAGTAGACACAGGAAGGCAGATTATATTCTGAATGGTGATATATTGGGAAAGGAAAGGGTACAACAAAACCTGGGTACACCAGTCAGTAAAAGAAAGCCTGTAGGTGGTACGCAAAGCAAATGGCATATTAGTCTTCACAGTGAGAGGATTCGAGTACAGGAACAGGGATATCTTGCTGCAATTGTACAGGGCCTTGGTGAGACCACACTTCCAGTGCTGTATGTAGTTATCGTCTCCTTACCTGAGGAAGGATGTTCTGGCAATGTAGGGAGTGCAGTGAAGGTTTACCAGACTGATTCCTGGGATGGCATGACCGACGTATGAAGAGAGACTGGATTGGTTAGGATTATATTCACTGGGATTTAGAAGATTGAGGAGGGGATCTCATCGAAACCTACAAAATTCTAACAGGACTAAACAGCAGGAAGGATATTCCTGTTGACCCGGGAATCCAGAACCAGAGAGGGAGGTGATGGACTCGTGGTATTATTGCTGGACTGTTAATCCAGAGATCCAGATAATGTTCTGGGGACTTGAGTTCGAATCCTGCCGTGGCAAATGGTGGAATTTGAATTCAATAAATATCTGGAATTAAGAATCTAATGATAACCATGAATCCATTGTCAATTGTTGGAAAAACCCATCTGATTCACTAATGCTCTTTAGGGAAGGAAACTGCCATCCTTACCTGGTCTGGCCTACGTGTGACTCCAGACCCACAGCAATGTGGTTGACTCTGAACTGCCCCCTGGGGCAATTAGAGATGGGCAATGAATGCTGCCTGGCCAGCGATGCCCTCATCCCGTGAATGAATAAAGGAAAAAAAAGACCACAGCCTAAGAGTAGAGGATGTGGAGGACTGAGCTGAGGAGACTGAATGAGCCTGTAGAATTCACAGCCACAGAAAGTGGTTGAGGCCAAAACATTGAATGTTTTTAAGAAGGAGTTAGATATAGTTCTTCGGGCTGAAGGGATTAAAGGATATGGGGGAGAAAGCAGGAACAGGGGGAGTTGCACCATTAGCCATGATTATATTGAATAGCCTGATTTTCTGTTTCTCTGGTGAAATTTAAATTCATTTAATTAGTAACTCTGTAATTAATAGCTATTATCAGTAATGATGACCGTGGAACGATATCATCTATCAAGGTTCTTCCCCACTGTAATTATACTCCTGAATGGACCTCTCAAATTTTAAATTTAATGTTGATCTCGCTCTTTGTGCACCTTCTCTGCAGCTGTAACATTGTATTCCTCGCTCTGTTCTATTACCCTAATGCATTTTGTATGGCATGACCTGCCTGTACTGCACGCAAAACAAAACTTTTTGCTGTAATTGGACACATAACAATTATAAATCAATTGTTGTAAAACCCTTCTGATTCACTAATGAAGGAAATCTGCCATCCTTATCCAGACTGGCCTACACATGACTCCTGTAAATGTTGCTTTGTGATGCTCTCGTGCGTTGCGAAAATATAAAAAAAGCTGATTTAAAATCTTAAATAAAAACCGAAAGAACTGCAGATGCTATAAATCAGAAACACTGCGGAAAGGTCACTCGACCTGAAACATTAACTCTGATTTCTCTCCACAGATGCCGCCAGACCTTCTGAGCTTCTCTAGCAATTTCTGCTTTTGTTTCTCATTTGAAACCTTGTACGTTTCTGTGAAATGACCTCCTGTTCTCCCCGCTCTGGAAAATATTGACCCAAATTACTCAGTCTCTCAGCATGGGACAACACCGTAGACAATGCATGCTCCAGAATGTGACGTTCTCTGCAAATTACAATTTACTCTTTAAAATCATGCTGGTATGCCACATTATGAGGAAGCCTTGCATTTCGCCCACTCGCCTAGCTCTCAAACTCTTCCTCACAAAATATTTATCCAATTCCCCACCTACTTTCCCTCAACTGTCTCCCTGAATGTTCTGCTCTGTATACCAGCCGGTCGGTAAATGATTAATGTTAAACTTATTAACAGACTCATTGGCCCTTCAGTCCATTCACTCCCCTTCACTTACAGCTTGTAGCCAGAGGTCAAAGGTATTCAGACACAAAACTCTGCTGATATAATAAAGCAAAGAACTATGGACCCTGCAGACTCTAAATCAAAGGCAGAAAATGCTGGAGAAACACAGCAGGTCTGGCAGCATCTGTGGAGAGAGAAAATAGCGATGTTTCAAATCTAGTGACCCTTCTTCAGAACTTGCACTGGACCTGAAACGTTAACTGTTTTCTGTCTCCTTTCTGCCAGACCTGCTGAGTTTCTCCAGCAATATCTGCTTCCTCTCCACAAAACTCCGCCACCTCTCCCTGGTCTTCACACCCCCAAGATGAAGTATGAGGGCCAGAAATCCGTGGCGGAGATCAGACCTTTTCAGGATTGACCTTTTAGAGTCATGGCTATGTACCTTGAATTCTTGTTGTTCAACATTACATTGCATAATGTTTAGCTAATGATCAACCAGTCACTGCTGAAAGTGATCCATTTCTCTATCCAAGATAACAAGGCGTAGAGCTGGATGAACACAGCAGGCCAAGCAGCATCAGAGGAGCAGGAAAGGTGACGTTTTGGGCCTAGACCCTTCT